CATGGCATGTGCAGAAGGACAACAGAGCGAGGTCTGGGGAGGGGCACCAACTACTGGGGGCTCTATGAAAGCCTCATCGTTGGAGCCACTAAAGAGCAAGAGAGGAGAGCCTGCTGAGGGCAGGCAGGGGCTGGTCCAGGGTGAGAGCAGAGCGCAGGGAGGGGACAGGTGGAGAGCCTTGGACACCAGACTAGGAAGTGTGGGATGGATTCTGAGGACATTAGGGGTCCCCACAGGGTATAAACGAGGGAAGTGACAACGGGCACTTTAGGAAGATCACCCCGGCTTCTGGATGGAGGGGTGACTCTGGAGACAAGGAGACCATGAAGGAGCAGGTCTGAGTAGTGGTGACGGAGTGGACACTAGGTTCTTTGTACCTGGGCGTGTCCATCCTCCCATCAGAACAGTGCTGGGAGCTGGGACTAAGCTCTGGAGGACAAAGTTGGTTTGAGCCACAAGGTGAGTAATACAGACGTGATTCCTGCCCACACACATCTTCTGTGATCTTTCTGAGCCTCAGTTTCCTCATCCGTGAAAGAACAACACTTACAGTCCCCACCTACAAGCATTCAAAACGCTAGCACAATCCCTGATGCAGGGGCATGATTACTATTATTAGGTTATTGGTCCGGGCAAGCAGGCATGGGGTACTAAGGGCACCAAGCAGTGGTGACAAGTCCGGAGGCAGGAATAGATTCCAGAGTCATTTAGGGACGGGGGTGCCAACATAGAATGCCTGCGTGGCTCAAACTATCAAGTGCTTGGCTACTAACAGAAAGGTCGGCTCTTTTAGTCCACCCACAGAAGTGCTTCAGAAGAAAGACCTGGCTACTTCCCAAAACTCAACCATGGAAAACTGTGGGACAGAGTTGTACTCTGACATACATGGGGTACCCAGGAGTGGGAATCCCCTGGTATCCAACACAAGACAGGCTCTCAGCAAATTCTGGATGGAAAAGAAGGATGAAAAAACAGGGGGTGGGTAGAGAGATTACAAACTGGCTGGTCTGGAAGCAGGCTGGGAAACATGGTGGCGCCTGGGGACAGGGGTTGGTGGCCTGTGCATTGTGAGGACATTCCCAGCCCACTCCCTAGTCCCATTGCTCACCACCACAGCTCATCTCTTCATTGTGTGGGGAAACCTTGGTTAGCCCCATTTTCCTGAAGAAAAGCTTGAGGTTTTGGAGAAGGGACTGCCTGGGGAGAACCAGCGTCAGGGCTAAAGGGGAATCTTTTGACCCTGGAGGGGACCAAGGTAGGGGTGTTCTGGGAGATAGGTGGCTGGAAACTGAGGGGTGGTTAGAACTTGGAAGAGAACCCAGGGTGCCGAGAGCCTGCAAGTATCACCCCCACGCTCCCGGCTGGGAGGCTCTTCACTTGTGTTTGGCTTTGTTTCCTGTTTTAAAATGACAGACATCGGGATCAAGCATGTGCTGGGGGTGAAACACAATGTCTCCACCTTCTAAAGAGAAAAGTCGTGGAAACCAGCAGTGGGCAGGAGCTTAGAGAAACATTTCTGCATCAACAGTTTCCACTCTGTAAATTCCCGTGTTTAAAATTCAAAGGAAGCCATTGGAGGGTTGGACTTTGTTTAACCTTTCGCATGGCAAAACTTCCTCCTCTGGGGCCCAGAAGGTTCAGAAACAGGACTGACAAGGGGTATGCAAATACTTCTAAAGACAAACTGAAGCTCAAATGCCCAGGAATTTGCCTGATGCATAAGAAACAGATTTAAAATTCATTTGCAAATTTTGGGGAGAAGCGTCCAAGTGGATGCTTGGTCTGCAGCGTGGAAACGTGGGCAGGATATCTTTTCTCTCTTTAATCCCTCCCTCCTGTGATATAGGCACCCGCCTCTCCCATGAGAATTTTCCTCCATGACTCATTTCTCCCCCTGCTTACCAAAAGTGCAAACAGAAGTCCACAGTTTTTGAAGTGGAGGTAATTTTATACATCCTAGGATGTTTTGGGACCTTCGAAGCTTACTCTTTTCAGATTTCTCCCCATATGTTCTCCCTCTGGTGAGCAGTTTGTGATGGATTTTTTTTCCTAAGAAAGTGAAGCATCTAGGAGGAGAATCTATGTTCACTCGGCTGCTGCTCGCAGAGGATTCTGGGCCACATCACTGAGAAGATCTCCAGGACTGCTAATAAAACCAGGTTCACAAACAGCAGTGGGGCAAGAAATGTCAGTCCATAAAAATTCTTGGAGGAAAGTCCCACCTCTTTGCTCAAGAGTTTCTTGTCTTGGGGGCATTTTCTGTGCTCTAGAGATAAGGATCTAACTATCCACTCTTGCTGTGTTACTGCTGAGAGGTGGATCCCCTCCCTCCCTGTTTTACAAAGGGGAAACTGGGGTCCAAAAAGAGGAACTCCTTGTTCACATCAGAGTCAGAACCAGCTCTTATCAGATCGGCCTTAGCATCGAATCTATAGCAATGTTTCAAGAACAGAACAAAGGACCCATAGTTACCACTATTCGCATCATGCTTGACGAGGGGGTATGATGCTTAGGGATAAGCACCTGACTGGTAACCCAAAGGTCAGCAGTTCAAACCCACCAGCCACTCTGGGAAACCCTATATGACAGGGTCACTATGAGTTGGAACCTTCTTGATGACACACAGTACAACAATATATTCAAAAAAACTTCCAAAAGTTCATGGGAAAATGGTATTAAAAGATATAAATTTCCCTGGGTGATAATAATGATGAAACAAACTACTAAACCCACCCAGAGGCACCGCAGAGGACAGACTTGTTGAACGGTTTCTGAAAGGTCTCGGCCTTGAAAACTGCATGGAGCAGTTCTACACTGAACACATGGGAGTGCCATGGCCTTCATCAATTTGACAACAACTAGAAACAATTACGAGAGAGTCAAAAATTATCCGCACTCTGGTTATCTTAAAACATTGAGCGTGCATGTGAAACGATTTGTTGAATAGACAAATGACAGTGGGTTATGTGGCAAATCATTTACAAATCAGCCATCATTTACAAATCAGCCATAGCTCTGAGTATGACATAATCCAGGACACATGGGTTTTGAAAAGTTTGTGTGAGATGGGTACCGAAATGACTCACAGAACAACATAAACGGAAGTGTTTGGACATCTGCAAACAAAATGAAGGAAGGTAACAGTTTCTTTTTAAAAAATCATTACTAGTGAGGAGATATGGACTCATCACTATGAGCCTGAGAGTAAATGGCAGAATATGGAATGGAAACATCCTTAATCGCCGACCAAGAAAAAGTTCAAAAGTCAACCAACCATCAGCTGGAAAATTGATTCTTACAGTTTTCTGGGATTCTCAAGAGCCAGTATTGGAACACTATATAGGAAGAAGGTTTAAACAATCAACAGTGCTTGTTACAGTGAGATGCTCACTGAAAAGCTGAAGGCTAAACTTCAGATTGAACTCTGAGAACTGCTATCCCAGGGCGTGTGATCTTGCATGGCAATGCACATCCGCACACCTCTGCCCACACTGTCAACACTCTGCAAAACTTCTTTTTGAGGTGTTAAAGCATCCTCCCTATAGTCCTGATCTTGCTCCATCGGACTTTCACCTGTTTAGTCCCCTGAAAGCAGCCCTTCAAGGAGGAAGATTGCCCTCTTATGAAGAAGTGAAGACAGTGGTGCATTCGTGGCTCACAGCTTAGCCCAAAACATTTTCTAATAATGAAATTTATTGACAGATGGACAAAGTATACTGAAAAGCATTATGTCCAAAAATGATGTATTTGTCTTTTCTAAAAGTTGGTTAAAATAAATGCTACTGCCAGAGTGCGAATTTTTTAAATTCAAATAATGCTCTTGTTACACGTAGTGGTTATGAATTGGGCTGCAAACCTCAGGGTCAGCAGTTCGAAACTACCAGCTGTTCCGCGGGAGAAAGATGAGGCTTTCTGCTCCCGTAAAGATTTATAGCCTCAGAAACCCTGTCCAGGGTCGCTATGAATCGGAATCGACTCCACGACACATCACCACCACCACTGTGTTGTTAAGGGCCGTGTTCTCGTAGCGACCCTATATGGAGTTTTTGAGGCTTTAACTCTTCCAAGGAACAGAAAGCCTCACCTTTCTTCTGCAGAGTGGCTGGTGGGTTTGAACTGCAAACCCTGTGGTTTGAAACCCAGTGTTTATTCATATGAAGCCACTGTGCTCAAGTGTGCTACACCAGTATTTTTTACACGTTGCCAGTAACAATTTCATTTTTTTTTTTTTTCTGTCCAATGGATTTAATGTTGTTGTTGTTAAGTACTATGGAGTCAGTTCTGACTCATAGCGACCCTGCACAGGGTTTCCGAGGCTATATATCTTTTCAGGAGCAGAAAGCCTCATCTTTCTCCCATGGAACAGCTGGTAGTTTCGAATTGCCGACCTTGGGGTTAGCAGCCCGATTCGTAACCACTATGCTACCAGAGCTCCTTGGATTTAATGTTACGGGAATAAAAATGTTCTCATGTTTTTGGAATCATGTTTCCTGATATTCTTTTCTATCCCACTCAAGATTCATAAGACAGTCAAGATCTTAACATTATTTCCCCTCTTTTACCCATTCAGACTATGCCTCCATCCCTGCATCACCATTAATGACCCTGGTGTTGTGAAATGCCATTGAGTCAGTTCTGATTCATTAACACTGTTTAGGGTTTTCAAGGAGTGACTGGTGGGTTTGAACCTCTAACCTTGTGGTTAGCAATCAAGTGCTTATCTTACAGTGCTACACCAGGACTCCAATGGATGACCCTGCTGGTGTTTAAAAACCAATGGCATAGCTTCCAGTATTAAAACATGAAAGCAACTACAGTAGGACAAACTGACAGACAGGCTGGGCATGATCGTACGCAAATAGCCAAGACTGAAGTCAGAGACTGGGCCAGCTGGCAGGGCGAGCAGAGGTCGTCCCCCACCCCCACTCCTGGAGCAGGCGGGGCACAGCGTAGAGGCTCGGAGCCCAGGTCTGGACCAGTGGCTACTGGGCGTTGGGGAGATGAGTGTGCTCCGCTTCCTGCTGGCCCTTGGCTGCCTGCGGCTTGGTTCAGGTACAACGGGGCGTAAGGAAGGGCAGTGCCCAGATGGGGGGCAGGTGTGCACCACCTGAACCCAGACCCTCTCCGAGAGACCTAGGGAGCCTGCATGGGAAAGGGCCACTGGGGACTTTGTTGATTCTCTCCTGGGGTTGTGTCTCTGCCTGCACTGGGCCCAGCCCTGTGCACCCAGAGTTAATAATAATAGTAATAGTAATAGTAATAGTAATAGTAGTTCCTGAGCTTTCCAGGTGAAGGGAAGAGTCAGATGGCTCTGGGTGCTGGGAGAAAAGGGCACGCAGGGGCTGTGGTTGACACGGAGCTGGGCTCATGGGGAGACCAAAGCACATGCCCTGCTGAGAACTCAGCAAGATCAGGGGACCAGGGGACGGCCATTGGTGTGGGAGAGCATGCCCAGAGCAGGGGGCAAAGAAGTGTGTGGAGGGACGAGGCTGGGCCTCACTGGGGCAGGAGTGTGGTACAGCCAGATTTGTAAGTTGGGGAGCAGAGGGTAAACTGCAGGCAGAAGCGGTTACTAGGGTCCAGGTGAAGAGGGTGGGGATGCCTGGCTAGGCTGATGAGGCAGAGAGATCTTGGTGGTGGGGATGGGGGTGGGGGGACACACTGCCTGATCTTGGAGATAGAATGTCTGGAGGGGGGCAGGGTTAGGGGAGCGGTTGGGCCGGAATGCCCGGTTTCTGGCTGGATGCCTGGGTGGGTCAGGGGCACTGCCTGTCTCTGAGACAGACCTCAGTGCCTGGGACCAGCAGGCATTCAAGCATTCAATAAATGCACACAGCCGCATCCATGTGTGCATGGGCAGTGGTGGCCATTGGTGCGGAAGGTTCAGGTGGGATGCAGTGTCCTTCCTCATTGTCCCCTCTAGCTGTGGACCTCCAGCCCCAGCTGGCCAGTGTGACCTTTGCCACCAACAACCCCACGCTCACCACTGTGGCCTTGGAAAAGCCGCTCTGTGTGTTTGACAGCTCTGCGACCCTCGTTGGAACCTACGAAGTCTACCTCTATGTCCTGGCTGAACTGGGTAAGGTTCCTGCCCGCTGCTCCCAGGGCCCCTTGGCCAGGAGCTGCTCCCATCTGCAGGGAGGTAGGCAGAAGGGTGCCCATTTCACCAGCAGTACTGGTGGCCACTCGGTGCCAGCCCTGGGCTGGACACTGGGAACACCAACCAAGATGAGGGACATCTTGTCTTATGGGGGAAACAATGATAGCACCAGCTGCTTTGACACAATTCGGATCAATTTCGACCCACAATGACACACTAGAATTCGTATTCACAACTGCCCAGTTACAATCAGATGACCCCCAATTCATGGCGACCCCGTGTGTGCCCACAGGGTAGAACTGTGTCCACAGGGTTTTCAGTGTCTGAGTTTTTGGAGGTAGATCACCAGGCATTTATTCTGAGGCACTTCTGGGTGGACACGAACCTCAAATCTTTCAGTTAGCAGCTGAGCATGTTCACCCACTGCAGAGAAGATAATCAAGGCTCAAAGGAGTGGACTGACTCACCATCTCCCAGAGATGGAATTTGAATTCAGATCTCTGGCCCTCAAACCCAAACCTTTCCCCAGGTTTCTCCAGATGGTTCCAGATCCATGTTTGCAATTGACATAATTAGCTGTGCAAGTCTACCTTTATAAATCAATTCGATTTTCCATTACTGTGAGCCCCTTCCTCCCCCCTCTTCCTCTTTTCATCCCTGGTAACCAGGTGTGGACCTATGGGTTAATGCGCCAGACTGCAAAGCCATTTGAACTGCAAGGTAGGTGGTTCAAGCTCACCAGCTGCTCCTCGGAAAACCTATACAGGGTCGCTCTGGGTCGGAACCAACTCGACGGCACTTAACAACAACAACCACTAATAAACTTTGTAGTCTGCTTATATAAGTGAGGTCATACGGTATTTCTCTTTTTGTGATTGATTTCTTTCAGCATAATGTCTTCAAGCTCTATTCATATTGTAGCATGCATCAAGACTCCATCTCTCCTACTAGCTGAGTAGTACTCCACTGCATGTATGGACCACATTGTGCTGTCCACCCTCAGCTGGCGGACAGTCCGGTTGTTTCCACTGTTTGGTTATTATGAAGAGTATTACAGTGAAAGCTGGTGGACAAGTCTCTGCTTTCCAGTCTTGTAGGTTTACAACTAGGAGTAGAATCACTGGGCCTTGTGGCCATTTAGTTCTTTTTTGCTGTTTTTTTTTTAATGTTTTCTTGTGAATTATGTGATAGGGCCATGTAGTTCTAGTTTTCATTTTTTTTGAGGAACGGCCACACTGTTTCCCACAGTGGCTGCACGGTTTTGTGTTCTCATCAGTAATGGAGAAGGGTTCCCATTTGTCCACGTCCTCACCAACGTTTACTACTCTGTTTCTGTTTTTTCATCTTAGTCATCCCAGTGAAATGGGATCTCATTTTGGTGTTGACTTGCATCTCTCCAATGACTAACGATGCTGAACCTTTTCATGGGCTTGGTGACCACGTGACTGTCTTTTCTGGTGAAATGTCTATTCAAGTCCATTGTCCATTTTAGGACTGGGTAATTTGTCTTTTTGTCTGTAAGTGGTCTATATATTTTTTGTTTGTTCGATTCTTTTTGGATATAGGGTTTCTGAAGATATTCTTCCAATCTTGTCTTTTCATTTTTTTGGGTAGTCTTTTGTTGAAAAAAAGTTTTAAATTTTTATGAGCTCTCATCTATTTATCTATTTTGTCTTTTTTTTTTTTAATGTTTTATTGTGAATTATGTGATAGTTTACATGGGAGAACATTATTTTCACATTCATCCTATCGTATATTGTTTCCTTGCCATGGTTACAACCCCCTCCATGCATCGTCAACCAACCAAAGGGTATACATTGCAAGCCTGCCCACCGGTCGTCAGCACACAGCCCCTCTCCTTCTCTGTGTCTAAAGTTTTTTTTGCTTCTTGTGCTTTTGTTATTAGATGATTCATTATTGAAAGCTAGGCCTGACAGCATTGCCCCTGCTTCTTATTCTAAGAATTTTATGGTTTTAGTTGGTTCACTTAGGTCCTTAATCCATTTTTTAATGTTTTTGCATATGGTGTGAGGCAGGGATCTCGTTTCATTTTTCTGCATGTGGAGACCCAATTTCCTCTGGTAGAGTAGTGGTTACGAATCGGGCTGCTAATCTCACGGTCAGCAGTTCGAAACTACTAGCTGTTCCGCAGAAGAAAGATGAGCCTTTCTGCTCCTGTAAAGATTTATAGCCTCGGAAACCTGTACTGGGTCGCTATGAGTTGGAACTTACTCCACGGCACATAACAACAACAAATCATTAAAAAGACTCTCTTTTCAGCAACCTTATCAAAAATCAGTTGACCATAGATGCGTGTATCTAGGCTCTCTATTCTATTGCATTGGTCTAAGTCTCTTTTGGTGTATCAGTACCAGGCGGTTTTGGTTACTGTAGCTGTACAGTGTGTTTTAAAATCAGCAAGTATGAGTCCTCCTCTGGGGTCTTGTGTGATTCCATTTCAAGTTGAATTTTGGTTTTTCTGTTTCTGTAAGTAAAGCTGTCAGATTAGGGAGCATTTGATGACAGACTTAGTGAGTGACTACTCACTAGGCTGGCCAGGACCTCACTTCCACATTACCCTTGCAGCCAGCTCCAAGAATGACTCAGTGCAGGACCACACTGGTAACCCCCTGAGCGCAACATTCCAGCAAACGGAAGGCGGGCGTACGAGCCCCTACAAGGCCGCATCCTTTGACCTGCAGCCCTGCAGTGACCTGCCCAGCCTGGATGCCATTGGAGATGTGTTTCGGGCTTCTGAGATCCTGAACTCCTACCTGATCAAGGTGGGCAGCAACAGGGCCTGCCTGCTCGATCCCAACTTCCAGGGCCTCTGCAACCCGCCTCTGTCGGCAGCTACAGGATATAGGTGGGTGTGAGCAGCTTTCTGGGGTGGGTGGGGCTGATGGCAGTGGTGCCCAGCCCCACTCTGGGGAAGACATTTCTCAAGAGCTGACCATGTGAATGGTCCCATGTCCCCTGCACAGTCTGCCTGGGTGTGTGCCCCATGCAGCTATAATACTCCGTCATTGCCATCTTGAGATTCTTGAGATTCACGTTGGGACAAGGGACCACGTTCCATTTGCGGGGCACTGGCAATGATGTAATCCCCTCGTGTGTGCAAGTCACCCATCCAAATGCTTTGTGTTACAGGGAAGGAGGCTGCTTCAAGAGGGGTGGGGCCCCCTTGTGAAAACACTGACCCTTGAAGACCTACCCCCCTCCCTCCAGCTCTGCCGGCTGTTCCCCAACCCCACCTCAGCACCCTGATTTGTCTCCACACATATTTCCTGAGAGTTTTCTCTGTAAAGGGTTTGGAGTCTTACCTATGGCCCGAGGGCCTAAAAACTACAGTTAGGTGAAACTAAACTCAGACTTGTGAAAAAGGTCAGGCTTAGTGGTCTGATAAAGACTGTGGAGTCCCTGAGACCATGGCCCTTAAACACCCTTCAAACCAGGGTCTGAATTCACCGCTGTGGCTCAGCTTTCATCCAAACAACAGACAGACCTCCAAGGTGAACAAAACACACTCCTTAGAACAATCTATCACAGGAAAAAGGGGCAGGACGCTGGTAGCGAAGCGTAGTGTAGTGGATTACAATGACTGCAAGGTCAACAGTTCAAATCTACCAGCTACTCCTCAGTAGAAAGAGGAGGCTTTCTGCTCCCATCAAGATTTACAGCCTCAGAAACCCTACACAGGGTCACTATAAGGCAGAACCAACTCAGGCACACAACTGCCACCAGGGTTCAGAAGGCAGGAAGCCATAGAAGGAGGGAAGGAAAGGGAAACACAGGGGCAAGTAGGGAGAGGGGGTCACATTGTAAGGAATGCAATCGGGGTCAAAAAAACAAAATACGCATGAAAGTGTTGAATGGAAAATCAATTCGCTCTGTAAACTTTCACTCGAATCACAATTGAAAAGCTCCAACCCATGGAGACAACGGTGTTCCATAGGTTTTTCTGTGGCTGATTTTTTCAGAAGTAGGTTGCCAGAATGGGTTAATACTCAAAAAACATACAACATGTGGTGTGTATGTGATAGACAGAAGGGGGCTCTGAGATGGAGAGTCCGGGCCCCCCAGTTCTGATGGCTTCGTGGGAGAAGGGGCATCATGGCTGGGGGGAAGGGTCCAGGGTGGTCATATGTGTAAAGGTCTTATGCTGAAGTCCCACTTGGGGGCTGTCTAGATGTCCACACCCTGAAAGTAGCCCTCCCCCTAACCTGCCTCCGTACGTAGTTCCTCCCACTCCCCATGGCCCCGGGCCGCAGGACCGGAGTCACTTTTTCTCTGTCCCCTTCCAGGTTCAAGTATGCCCTGGTCAATATGTCCACAGGCTTGGTAGAGGACCAGACACTCTGGTCAGACCCCATCCGAACCAACCGGCGTAAGTGGCGGGGATGGATGGGGTGGAAGGGTGGCCTTCAGGGGAGCCAGGGGAGCCGGGGAACCGAGGACATGGGGACAAAAAATGAGCCAGCCACCAAGGGAATCTCCCCAATCAAGACAGCTCTACTGAACCTTTCAGTTGACTGCTGGTGCTTAACACACTGCACTACTAAAGGTCCATCTGCTCATAAGTTGTTGGTAAATGCCTTCCAGTCCTTTCCGACTCCTAGCACCCTGGTAGCGTAGTGGTTACGAATCGGGCTGTGAACTGCAAGGTCAGCGGTTCGAAACTACCAGCTGTTCCACAGGAGAAAGATGAGGCTTTCTGCTCCCGTCCCGGAAACCCTGTACAGACTCGCTATGAGTCG